ATGTGATAATTGTTCATAACGTTTTAATCAACTATAAAATTGATCGAACGCCGATGTATTCTTTTATCACATTTCGCCCCTTAGGACCATGATTTTGTCGGATGTACCAGACGTGTTGTATTACAGTGTAGGTTTAATTGTATTCAATTTTTAAATTGACATCCTGCGAAAGTTCGACAATTCATCAACCGATCGACAACGTTAAATGCACTCTCGGCATGAAAAAATGCCAAAATTTCAACTTTTAAATGTCTTTTATTTATTCGATTTTCTTACAAGCCGTTTTAATTGTTTAATTGTTTAACTCCTCTGTCACGCGTACATATTTGAAAAAATAAAATAAAAACATACCGAATCCGCTCTAGCGTAAAACCGTTATTTCGTACACAGGTATAGCAGGTCCGCTTTAACCCACCATCGATACGCAATTTTAATCAATATAATAATATACTGTTTTAAAAACGAAAACTCGGATTTTAGAAATTAATATTATTATCATCGCGTAACCGTCGCCAAAGTTATTTTGTTCGTATCAAAAAGGAAGAATCGTATATAATGTAGAAAATTTTATATTGTGCGCATGTGTACAGCTGATATTCGCTTACTATTAGGTATTATATACATTCATGAAACTGCCGTTTCGAATAAATCAAAATCGTACAATAATAATAATACGTTCTATAGAAATAATAATACAAACAATTCTCATATTTGTCGAAAAAAAACCACGGGGTCCGCTCGTTGTTTGCAATACATTTTCGCCCCATATGTCTGTAACGAGAAACGGGCCTTAATAAATTAATATAATACATAATATTGAGAAAAAAAAAAATGAATCCAAATAGTGTTCTTATATTATAATACGGAAAGTGAAAAATAAGACGATCGGAGCATGATTAGAAAAGCTGCCAACAGCCACAATAAACGTAACGTTTTTTTTTTTTTCACCCGCAAATTCCGGAGCCGGACTTGCGAATTCATTATAATATTAAACCGACTGTTTTGACACTGGTTTTGGTGTTTCTAGGACCGCGTATAGTTCTGCGCGAAATTAATCCTTCTTCGGTGCAACCCCATATCATCTCCTTTGTTTTCCACCAGCGAAATTCCGGGATCGGGCCAGCGGCGTAACTAGCACTTCTAATGCCCGTGTGCAAAATATTGTCTAGAGGCCCTAAAGGCCGATCCGATAAGCAAAAAACGAAAAAAAAAAGGTTATTCGAAAAGACCCTCACCCGTGTCCAATAATGCCTTGGGCTCTGGTCAAAGCCCTCATCAGTTGCGGGCCCGCGGCCACCCAGTGTTTACGCCACTGGATCGGACTTGATGCAAATTATTCTTTTTAAATACGCGAAAAATATTAGCACCGTGTGGAATAATTATTCGTTTTAATAAACGTGACTTCACGGACGCGAGACGGTAAATGCATTCGAAAAACGAGCGATCGATTGCGTCGCTCACTATGGCCGCGTGCAGTACAGTTATAGTTTCGCGAGACCATAAATTATGGTTGAATAATGAATGTAATTAATTAATAAATACCGATTCGGTAGTACAATGCGTTCAAATGTAATTTACTACTGCGCGATCTCCGGGAGTTGAAAATAACGATTTTCCATTGACGATTGCGGACAGTGTAGAAACAGAAATCGTGACGGACAAACAAACAAAACGGATATACTAATAGGTGTTCCGTTCGTACGGTGTTTTCAACCCGAGGGAAATTAAAACTTTATTATTATTTTTTTTTTTCATTTCGATTTTAATATTCCACACCGAAGAAAAAATGATGAATGTGTACAGCACAATAACGCGTCTCGAATAATATTTTAAGTGTTCCCCGGCATTTTTAATTGGGTACCTTATGCACGGAGGTACATAAATTGTTGTTAATATAAACGAACGGCAGCCGAAACGACGAGGAAGTAAATTTCCATTAGAGATTTACAGAAAGCTATTGTTGAGTGTTTTTTTTTTTTTCTTTTTTTTAATTTTAATAAGAAAAACCTCTTCATTAAACCGAACGATTAATTTTCATTTTATTTTGGGAAACGTTTCTGCTTAAAAACTGCAGACAACGCAAATTTTTTTTCGTCTAAGTGAAAAAAATCGGCTCAACAATTTCGGCGATTATGTTTTTCATTTATTATTATTATTATTATTATTTTTTTTTTTTTGCGACGCAGCTGAAATTGCATTTTACGTGGATTATCGTTCTAAATAAATTGTTTGCGTTTAAACTGCAGTTTTTGCAATATCAGTTTTATATTAATGCAAACGAGAAGGTACGTGTTCAATAATTAATACATGTTTATTGAATGGTATCAATTGAAAAAAATAAAAACGCTTATTTCCGTACGACGTCGCTGTATTATACTCGACGAAACGAAATTGTTTAAACCGTCATATTTTTAAAACATCCACCATAATAATAATAATATGGGTCAAATAAAATAATAAATTATACATATTAATGGGGAGTATTATTGTCGAGGATGATATTTCGAAATATTTACACGGACAATTTATATTAACGTTTTAATATCCATCAAAATAATAAGCTAGTTGCTACAACGGAATCTAAACAAATCAACTGTAGTAAACTAAATAATGTAAAACATTTCATAGTTTACATTCGCGATGCTTATAATATTGATGTTCACCTCATTTTGTTCTCCTTTTAAAAATACATTACCGCAAACCGTCACCTAAACGTCCTAAACTGTATGCTATTTTGTTGTCTATTGTTGTTCACCTTTGTTGTCAACATCTTTCTCTGTCTTTCTCACTGTTTATACGTATTAGGTATACATGATCTCAAGCTGTTTTCTATTATTTTCTAATAATATAATGTATTCTCTGTTTACTATCAGGCCCGGATTAAGGGTTGTGGGGGCACATAGAACAATAAGCAAAAAAAAAAAAAAAAAAAATTCTCAAATATTTGGTTCATCTCATAATATGGTATTTGTGGGCTCTTGATTTTCGTGAGTTCCGGGGACGTAGCCTCCCTGCCTTCCACCCCTTAATACGGGCCTGTATACTATCAGTCAATTTGTTTATTTGCACCTTTCAGTCCACATGCTATTCTAGTAGGGTCAATAATTTACTTTTTAAAGTTTACCTACCGAAATTATCATTGATTTTAAAATGAGTATATTATAAATTGGAATTAAAAAAAAAAAAAAAAAATAAAAAAATACATTTTGTAAAACTTTAAAGGAACCGAACAGTAAAACCACTTTGTACCCGCCGGTATATCGCTCGACCGATTACTGTGGCAACAGTGTGGCAATACAATTTTTTTTTTTTTTTTTATTGAACATAACTGTTCGCGGCATCTACGGCCGTTGGACGTGACATTACACGTAAGTATAATTAAATGACAGAGATATTGAGAAATACTAAAATGGTAGACACGGTACTAGACAAAAGATTTAAATATAGGTGTTATAAAATATAATAAACAATTTATAATTTATTTCATATGTTGGTTTCCGAAAGGAAGTGTTTTAGCTTGGAAGCGTTGATGGGTCCGGGGTTGAGTGCTTCAGCAAAGTGATCGGAGATCTGGAATCGTTCTATTTCCCTATCGTAGGTTCCGCATTCGGTCAAAACATGTTTAACTGTGAGGGAGACCTCAGAACCTGTACAAATACGGGGGGGCTGGGTCTTCATTTCTCATTAAATGAGAGTGGGTGAGGAGAGGGCGGCAATAATATTGTACCTACAGAAATTAGTGTTGGGCATCACAAGCGAATGGTATCGAATTACAATTCGATAGTCAATCGTACACGAACTATTCGATAAATTGAAAACTATGTACGGATAAAGAAAAAAAAACTATTCGATCGCGAACAAACATAATATTATTTTATAAACGAAACATTCGACGGATAGTCTTATGGAAAACTGTAGATAATAATATATAACTGATAATATACGTATTGTGGTAACGATACGCGAAAGTTGTACAGAAAAGTAGTCTCTTTTGTAATTGAATCGCGTGCTCGTATAACAAGTCAATCGTACTATTTTTTGTTTTTTTTTTTTTACCCTTCAATTTCTCATCGGTATAATGGACGCGGGTAGGGTTTTTTTTTTTTTTTCTATAGTAGGCACGTGACCGACCGACGCCGCAGTCATCGAACACACCGCGTATTATTATAATAATATTATCGCGCAGAGAGGTGTCGCGTGGGCGGCGAAGGGGTTATCCATTAGTCGATAGATAATAATAACAGTAATGATGATACGTACGCACCGCTCTTTCACTCGTCGGCGAAGCTCGCGCGCCGATCACGGGCCCCGTCGTCGTCGTCGTCGTCATCACCGTCATCGTTATCATCACCATCGCGCGCGCATATACATATATATATGATAACAGCGACAACAACAACAGCAACAACAACAACAACAACAACAACAACAATATACTTTTCGGTCAGGTATTATAATAATACACTGTGTATAATATGTACGTATATATATATATAGGGACGGCGGCGGCGGCGGCGGCGCGGGCGTAGAGCCGACGGTTGCCTTCTCACTTCCGGTTCCGGTTATTTGCGTGCGCCGCCGCGGCGAGCGGTCTTCTCTCGCGGCCCGGCGTTATATTGTTATAATATTAATATTATCGTCCGCGTATTATAACCATCATCGAGACACCGATTCTACATTAGCCTGTTCCGGCGGGCGGTACGTGAAAATAATAATAAAAGCAAAAAAAAAAAAAGCGGAAAAAAATAGAGTACATCGATAAAAGGGAGTGAAAAAAAAAAAAAAAAAAAGTACGTATACGCACGATATTATTATTATTATATATTTTATATTATACAGTACCTATTATGATATTATATTGTATATAATAAGTTTCGATATCGCCTCTTCAATGGCGAAGAACCTTTGCAGCAGCAGCAGCAGCAGCCATTCATCACGCGCTTGCGTAAACTTCATTACCGTGAGAGTATTGTTGTTGTCGAACCTCCTTGATTCTGCATAAAGTGTTGCGCGGTCGCCTCGATAATCGAGACCGCCGAGAATGTATAGACATGCTAATAAATTGCCTGTCACAACGGAAAAAGCCGTAATTCACTTTTTCCATCATCATCTAATCGTCTAATCCTGTCGGCTAATACAACCGGATGCCTGAAAAACTCACAAACTCCACAAACCCTTCCTAATGACGGTGGAAGGAATATGGGCAATGGATTCCCCCCCCCCCCATAAGCCGTATTTATATAGTACCTATATTGTTATTTTAGAGAAATTGTAGGTTCAAATACAAATTTTCAAAACTTTTATGAAATTAAAAAATTATAAATGTTTAATTGTATTATTGTATTGGTAGATACCTAAATATTCATAGTTTATCATTATACTAGGTAAGTAATATTCTTAATAGTTTATGTTAAAATAAATGGTAAATTTTACTTTAAATTTACATTTACGCGTTCGAACGCGATGAAGACGTTGTTATTTTAAAAACGCAGACTCGCTATATAATAGAAAACTAACGAGTTATGGTGATGAGTCATTAAATGTTAGTAAGGAGAGGGGTTGTGTGGGGCTAACCTCCCATGAGATTGCCATGGACATTTATTTTCATAATCCCTCCCTTAAAACATACTCAATTACGTCACTGCTTGCCGTGGGTCCTATTAAAAATGACTATATCCAACCGGCGAAACACTTGCCAGTGGGACATGGTCTCGACTGGCCAAGACGGATAATATTCAACAGGCTAAAAGTGGGAGTCGGAAGATCAAAGGACAATCTAAGAATGTGGGGTATGCAGGAAGACACAATATGAGAGTGCAGAGACCAACAAATCATGCGTCATCTACTGACATGTCCAAACTGCCCAACAATATGCACTATTACAGCCTTTAAAACAGCGACCAAGGATGAAATCTAAGTAGCCAAATACTGGAAGGACAATGTATAATAACCAATTAGACTAAATATTACAATCGACTTGTTTTTGTATTTTATTATTTATTTTATTTGAATTTATTTATTTCATTTATTTATCGTTGTTTGACACAGATATAACAATAATCTAATTTCTTTGGACAAATATAAGTACGACGTTTTTCGTGGACGATGCTAAAAAACATACGACCTTAAAAGATATGATCCGAAATGCAGGGCCCGTGGTAAAGTAATTGACACCCGTGCCTGGGTGATAAATGAATCGTCTCCCCTATCTTTGACAATGTTTATGTATTAATTCTCATGTTCCTTTAAATGAGAGGGGAAGGTGGAATATGTATGAATAATATACAAAATATTTCCTCCCTATAAGAACTTATCATGAACAGCACCCAACGGACACGAATAGATTGATAAGTGAGCTATAGAGTCAACCTAAATCCTTAATGGCCAAATGTTTCCTTTAACAGTTCACACTTATAAAAATAATAATACTTACTAAACAGTATAGAAGTCGATTTTCTTTATTCTTCATATAAAGTATAGTTAAACGTATGATGTTATAAAACGTAAAAACACACTAATACGTGTTGTGTTGATAGTTGCGTGTATTCAGGTAATTGGTATACTTACCAACAGAAACAACAACGGCGCGTTATCATAATATTATATTGCAGGACGACGTAAAATCTTCGAGTATATTCTATGCGCTAAATCGGCATGCTTCCCACGGTGGGTGAGCCGCTGTTTTAGGTGAGAATTTGGGAAGGTAGAGGGGAAATTTAATGTATATCTGTATGCGGCCATTAATTATTGATAACGAAAAACGATATTGAGCGGAGTTCGGTTGTACGTGTTTTCAAAGGCCGTAACATTAACAATTTCAAAATAACAAATTTCGTACATTTTCCCGTTTTTCCTAATTTTTTTCCGATTTTCCCATTTATTATGAAAACTCCTGGGAGAATCAAAAAATAACTCTCTTAAAATATCATCCCAGGAAAATTTATTTTCAGAAAAAGTGCTATCTATTGTAAATCGGAGCAAAATTGTTGGTAGAAAAGTTGTTCACAGAAAAAAAAAATAAAAAACCAATACATTCTTCGCTCCACTTGGAATATAAAAGAAATAATTATTCCAAACGATATGATATTAAACTTTTTAACACGTGAATTTCAAAAATTTTTAGTTTGGGTAGCTGCCCATCTTGTTCGTACGCTATAACCGCCACTGTTTTATATTTAATACTGTCACTCAATAAAATATTAGGTAGTAATAGAAATCGTTAGTTCCCCCTTACAGATCTTTGTTCTGGTACGGTATATTGATTTTTTAAATTATAATATCATTGTAGCACCCCCTTTTAGCAGGCACCCTGATCGCGCATCCCTAATGCTGGCCCTGAATAAATAGGCTGCGCCTTCCTCACGCCCCGAATATTTTATGATGTTCGTGAACAATATTGGACGAAAAAGAAAACGATAGTTAGAGGCATTTATTGCGGACTATAACTATATATTTTTATTACACCATGAAATTGATTATGATTATTTCTTGTGGAGGGGGGGTGGGTTAGAATGCTCCCACGGTACCTCTAATTGTCATAAGAGACGAAAAATGAGCTGGCGTGAAATTTTGTCAAACAGTATGAGGAATTTTAAACAAAATTTCGGCTGATTGTCCCATATCATAGGGGAAATAGGCGAGAGAGGTTACCGTCAAATTTGGACAAATTTCACAATAGGCTTGATGAATAGAGAGTATAACTTGAAGAACAGGGACTAAGCATAAGCAGCAGTAAAACCGAGTATACAGGGTGTAACAGGACTATTTGACATTTTTACATTGTAGTTATGTGTAAAAATGACAAATAGTCCAGTAGGCAAGATCATATTTTGCCATTCGTATACAATCCGCTAGAACTTGTGTAAAATTTTTAATGAGCTTTTGTAAATATCATGAATTATTTTAAAACTTGAAAGTTTTCCGTTTTTGTTTGTATAACATAGGTCTTAATCTTAAACGCCGGGGCCTTAATCTAAAATCGCATTTAATACTAATATTTTGTTATCAAGGTATCTTTAAGGAACAATTGAATTGAAAACGCATTCGTATCGCTTTACCCTATTGGCTACTAACCAGCTGGTCTTCTACAAAGAGCCGTGATTGTAAAAATTAATTTACCATTTTTCTATTTTCATTTCGTCCCAAAACGAAACTTATAGTTTTGCCCGATTGCGCATGTTAAACGTCGGACTTTTCCCAATCAGAGTACGTGTACGATATAGATACTGCACTCTACTATATATATATACACATGCAAGTATCGATCGGTTTTTTTTTTCTGGTCGGTGTGTTATACGGAAGCTTTTTGTTCGAGATCGTATGTTCGCGATGGGAAGTGTGCAAGAGGGAAAAAAGGCGAATTATTCGATAGGAAAAAGAAAAAAAAAAACCTTATATAATACTACAACGTTAATTCGACAACAACGGGACCGGTCGGCGGACAATGGACAAGAGAACGCACACCGGAAGCGAATCAACTCGACTGTCGGCAGCGGAGTACATATTATTATTATACGCTGGTCGTATATACGCGATGGGGTTTATTGCCCCGGCCAAAGTCGTATTCGCAATGGTACAAAAAAAAAAAAAAGAAAAAAAGAAAAAGAGAGAACGAAAAAAAAAGTCCGAACATCGGACGCCCGGAAACGCGATGCCCCGACTCCTCGGTCGGTTTCCTGTTGCCCGTCGCCGCCGCCGTCGTCGTACGGACTAAAGTTTTATTTCCCTTCTTTTTTTTTTTTTTTTTTTATGCATTTCAATTTCGAAAGCTCGGGCATATTTCGTGCGGCGCTCACGAAATAGTCGCTTTAAAAAACCGGCAAATTATTGAGCGATATAGACTGGACCGGAACGCGATCCTCTATATTATTATTGTGCAAACGATATCGACGCGTTTTCGGAAAACGGAAGACGGGCATAATAATAAAATATTGACGGTTGTACGGTCGAGTCCTCGTGGTATTATCATGCAAATGTTCTCCTCTTCGACGGCTATTCTTATGTCCGACGATAAATTCACCTAGTGCGTGTAATGTTATTGCAGTAATATGGTACGCAGATAGAATCGATTTCGAATCGCAGCCGTTTTTTTTAGATTCTGAGCGTAGCGAGTAACGTATCGCAGGTTTTACCACACAGTGTGATTTTGTTCCGTTTGCATACCTCATAAGCTCCCGTGGAAATTCGCTAGATAACGGGCGAGAGGTAAGTTTATAAACCGGCGACCGTTCTCCGTGCACGGTTTTTAACCGGTTGCGTTTTCGAAAAATCTGTTTTGAGAATTCGCGTAGCTTCACCGGTGAATCGATCGGTACGTCGGAAACGAAACGCGGCCGGATCCCTACGTCTCGCGGGCGCAAGACAAAGACGGAAACCCGTCCGCTTCCGGTCCACTTAAAAACAACAAACGAACAAAGGCCGGGTTGAATCGACTCAAAACGTTGGCCCAACGGTCCAACGCCAACGCCCGGCCTCGGGTATCCGCGCGTTGCCACCCCGTACACGTAAATATCGACACGGCGTACAATGCTGTCGCGTTACAACAATGCCGCCGTTTACGTTGTTACCCGCGAGCCGACCAATGCGCGCGGGCCATACAACGGCCGCACGGTATCGATACGAGTTTAACGGCGTTAACGCGGATAAATTCAATTCCGGGCGTCCGCGCGCCCGGTGTCACGCGGCGTGGTTATTGCGATTCGCGAATAATAATAACAATAATGACGTAACGGCTTTATTATTATATCGTTCCGGGATCCAATAAGCCCGGAGGAGAACCGACTGCGAACGACGGATAAAAACGGGCGGGGGGCGGGGGGCCGTTTATCCGACGGGATCGCGTCGGGGATTCGCGGATTTAAACGACTTTGGCGGGCGCGCCGTCGACACGCCGCCGTCCTCCCGGAATCGTTACGATAATATATTATTGAAACAAAGCTAATAAGCGCGCGGCGGGGAGTGCGCGCACAATAACGCGACGTGTACCGTATATACAGGGCGATACGGGAACGTCGGCGGCGACGGCGTTGCAACGCGGCAAAACCCCCGTTAACGGACACCTCAGCGCAACGGTAATTTGTACAGGTCCCGTCGAGCGTTACGCCTCTATAGGAAACTTCTTAAGGACGGTCACCTCTAAATTAATATCGGCCGTTAATTCCGGTTTCTTCGGTGACCGTAACACGGGTGTTTTACTGTACCGAGTACGCCGAACGTGTTTAATCGACGGTCGTATCAAGTACAAATACTATTGT